GAGATAGTGAGTTGGAGAGATGACTCAGTGGTTAAAAGTACTTGCTATTCTTGCAGAAGATCCAGGTTTGGTTCCAAGTATAGGTGACTTGCAGCCACATGTAACTCTACCCTTTTCTGGCATCTGTATGTAAGTGAGTTTTTTTTTTTTTTTTTTTTTTTTTTATCTCTTTCTACCTTATGTGTTGAGGCAAGGTCTCTCACTTGAAGCTTATGGATTCAGCTAGTCTAGCTAGCCAGCTTGCTCTGAGGTCCCCTGGGGACACAGAAGCCTTATAGAGTTCTTTCATACTCCCATCCATTTATGTTAGTGACATTGTGGCGATCACTCTATACTTGGTATATGGAACTTAGTAAAATAATCCTGAAATATCATAAAAACTTGATTTGGAAGTGTTCCAATATTGGCTACTTCACAGTATCACCTCTCTATTGAAATGACACATACAAAGATCCAAAATTGTATTTGAAATACAAAAATGGCTCAAATTAAACTCTTGTAATTGTAATCACATTATTGAACATGGCTCAATTTGTAAAGCAGCAGACGAAAACAGCCCACCAAATATTCATGGCCCTGGTTAGAAACTCCCCCTCCTCTCATTAGAAACTTAAAAGAATCAAACTGTTTCAGGCTTGATATAGTTCCGTTTTCAAAACAAACTTGCCAGCATGTCCTAGAATACTCTTCAAAAACACGGATGTGTTGATAAATAAGCATTAAGCTAAGATCTGAATCATCAAATCAACCAGCCAGGGAGTAGCTTTGTACAAAATTTCACGATTTGTATATTAACTGATTATTCCTTTAAAAGTCACTGATTACTTTCCCAAATAATTTTTTAAATTTATTTTTATTAGTAAATGTGTTCTTTCATAACTTCATGCATGTAATCTATGCATTCTGGTCCCGCTTCCCAACCTCTCCCATTTTTCTCCCACCCTTACCAGCTCACTTCCTCTCCACAAATCTTTCTCCCATTTACTAGTTTGGGTTTTGTTTAGTGTCCCACAGAGTTTAATTAGGGCCTTCTGTGTGATTCCTAATTAAAATTTTATAACAGCTTAAATTGATGCTAAAATGTTCAGCATAATTACAGGTGAAAATTACTTTGACACTGTCAGTCAATGAAGCTTCAAAGTTTTCAACATACAAATTTCAAATTTTATTTAACAAAATTGTCACAAAAAACATGCCTTTGACTATCTCTCACCCTGGAGCTATTCTATTGACCTGAAAAAACACATAGACTTCTGTGGGAAGGAAAAAGGAAAGA